TCACTCGGTCGCCCAGACTGGAGTACAGTGGCCGCTCCCGGCCACCGCAGCCTCACCTGCTGGGCTCTGGCGATCCTTCCGCCTGTTTTTAAAAAATGTCCAAAGACTGTGTTAAAGGCTGCAGTGTTCACAGGGGTGTTGTGCTGCAAGGGTAGGAGTTGTCCTCACCCTGACCTCAGCACTGCCCTCTTGCCGTTCACACATGTGACCTGGTGCTAGGAACCAGAGCCCACCTTGGGCAGCTGCACCTAGAATGTATGCTTCTTTCTCTGCTTCTGCTTTTCAGTGTCTCTTAGTTGTTTTTGGTTTTTGTTTGTTTGTTTTTAGTAGGAATCTCACTCTGTCACCCAGGCTAGAGTGTAGTGGCACACTCACAGTCACCACAGCCTCTACCTGCTGGGCTTAGACAATCCTTCCACCTCAGCCTTCCAAGTAGCTGGAACTACAGACACACACCACCACTCCCAGCTAGTTTTTGTGATTTATTGTAGAGATGAGGTGTCGCCAAGTTGCCCAGGCTGGTCTCGAACCCCCGGGCTCAGGCAGTCCTCTTGCCTCAGCTTCCCAAAGTACTGGGATTACAGGCTGAGCCACCGCGCCTGGCCCAAAGTCCGTTTTATCACTACCCTAATCCTGCTTCCCTTCTTCCTTCCCAAAGGGAAACTATGAGTGCATCCTTCCAAATCATTTTCTGTTCATTGGAGTACATTTCTTTGTACTCATAGAAATGATAACATTGTTTTTCATGACCAAATAATATAATAGGCACTAGAGAAATGCCCATTTCAGTACATGTAGTACTACCTCATTTTCTTTTTGTGAGATTAATGGTCATATATTTTGTCTTCTGCAAATTGCATGCTCATATCCTTTGCCCATTTTTAAAAATTGTGGTAAATATCTGTAACATAAAACTTACATTTTTAGGTGTACAGTGCAGTGGCATTAAGTACAGCCATGTTGTGCGATAATCACCACCGCGTAACTCTAGAACGCTTTTCATCATCCCATTCTGAAATTCTGTGCCCATTAAACAACAGCTTTGGCTAGGCTCAGTGGCTCAGTCTATAATCCCAGCACTTTAGGAGGCCAAGGCAAGTGGACTGCCTGAGCCCATGGGCTCGAGACCAGCCTGGGAAACTCAAAAAACAAATAACAAATGACATCATCCATTTCTTCTATCCCTTGCCCTTGATAACCACTGTTCTACTTTCCATCACTGTGAGTTTGACTCAGATCTCCTTTTGTAAATGGCTTAATTCACTTAGCATTATGTCTTCGAGTTTCATCCTTGTTATAGCATGTATCAAAATTTCATTCCTTTTTAAGGTTGAATAGTATTCCATTGTATGTGTATACAGTATTTTGTTTGTTCATCAGTCAAGGGACACTTGGGTTATTACCATTTTTGACTATATGAATAATGCTGCTGTGAACATTAGTAAAAATATCTGCTTGAGTCCCTGCTTTCAGTTGTTTTCTGTGAATACACAGAAGCAAAGCTGATGGACCAAATGGTAATTGTTTGGTTTTTTAAAAGCTGCAATACTGTTTTCCACAGAGGCTGCACCATTTTATAATTCTACCAATAATGCACAAGGATTCCAGTTTCTCCAAATCCTTGCCAGCACTTGCTTTCTGTTTTGTTTTGTTTTTTAATAGTAGCCCTCCTAATGAATGTGAAATAATATCTCATTTAATTTGCATTTCCTAATGATAAGTGATGGTTAGCATCTCTTCATTTGCTTATTGGCCATTTTGTGTATCTTTTTTGGATAAATGTCTTGTTCAAGTTCTTTACCCATTTTCAAATTGGGTTGTTAGGAAGTTTTTGTTGAGTTTTGGGAGTTCTGAATTTATATATTCTGGATATTAATCCTTTATCAGATGTGTGATTTGCAAACCTCATTCACTTTTACAGCTGCACAGCATCGATAATATCAAGACACCCCAGTTTATTTAGCCATTTTAAGTTCCTTATCAAGAGAAGCTGGCTGCATTAAGCATCCTGACACCTGTCTCCTCATTCACATAAGCAAGTGTTTCTCTGGGGTAGATCCTGAAAAAGCCAAGTTGCTGAATTGTAGGATTTGAAAATGTTAGTGGATATTGCTAGAATTCCCCATAGCATTTCAGGCAAAATTGGGTTAAAGAGGACCTTAAAGTGTTCCTTGGAGAGGGAGAAGGCTCACAAAAGGACTGTCTCAGGGGTGTAGAGGAAGAAAGAAGTCCTACTTAGTCCCCTTCCTAGCTGTACTGGTCTGTCCTGGAGGGTAAAGGGCTATCCCAGGGTATGTGCACACTAATGAGAGGAGTGCTGGCCTTTCTCATCACCAGCTGCCAGAGCTGTTGCTTCTCCACAAGGTTGCCACCCAGGATTGCTGGTTGTGCTCAGCTGGGGTGAGGTGGGAACACATCGGGGTGGAAAGTAGCAGCGTTCAAACCTCCAGAGGCAGCCTGAAGTATTTACAGAAATCTTTCAAGTCCATTGTAAAAGAGAAGAATCAGGCTGGTCTACTGTATCTGGAGAATCACTGAACTTTCAGAAACTGCCCTGAGATGGCAGGCTTCTGGTTCACCTCCCACACTCCAGCAGTGCTGATCTGGTGTAACGTCCTATGGGAAGGGGGTGGTCAAGATCAAGAATCAGCACACTATGACCTAATGGGCCAAATCCAGCCCACCATCTGTTGTCAGTAAAGTTTTATTGGAATCCAGTAATGTCCATTTGTTTAAGTATTGCTTAGGGCAGCTCTTGTGCTATAAAAGAAGAGTTGAAGAGTTGGGACAGAGACTATATGGCCCGTAAAGCCTAAGGTATTTACTGTCTAGCCCTTCACAGAAAAATGGCAATCCCTGGTCTAGATGCAATTATAATATAAATTCATAGGCCCACCAAACTTTTATTTTTGTTCATTAGGCTTGAATCTACTTATGACTGAAAAGTTAACCACTCAGCAGCCCCTTTCTGCCACAGACAGCTTGATGCTTCGCTGTGATAATCAGAAATGCAGAGGCCTCATAGCCGTGGGAAAGAGCCTTGTGGAGAGGAGCTAAGTACCGAGTGAGGAGTTAACTAGCTAAATGTGGAAAGGCTCTCCCAATCCTGAGAGCTGTGAGTTCAAATCATTTTACTCAGTAAGAACCTTGCAGCAATACATTTATGTTGATGATGGTAATTTGAAGATCCAGAAATCAGTTACTTTGTATAAATGCTGCAACCTCACTAAAAATGAGCCTCACTTCATTCAGCAAACAAGAAGTATCTAATAGCATACCACACAGAATAGTTATGAAAGACGTCTGATTCCAAAGTGAATCATCTTGTAGTCCTTAAATTTTTAAGTAACTTTGATATGTTATACTTTGCAGGATTTCTGGTTAGTTGTGCTGGTGAATTTAATAGTTGTCTTACTTTTTTGTTTCCAGCTTTGTCCTGCCAAGAAGTTACTGATGATGAGGTCTTGGATGCAAGCTGCTTGTTGGATGTCTTAAGAATGTACCGATGGCAGATCTCTTCATTTGAAGAACAGGTGAGCACAACATTCAGGCAGTCTTAGCTTGGAGAATCCTTTCTCTTAGTGACTTGGGGCTTCACCTTGCAATTGCCTTGTCTGAGTGTACAATTCTGTGACATTTTAGACAACCTTGGTATTCTGGAAGCAGAGAACCAACTTTGTTCCTGCATTCATGATCAGAGGGGAACTACAACTCTTTTTCACCCAGTGGGTAGAAGGTTAGCAGGATAGGGCATGAACACAGTTGCCAAAGAGCAAAAATCTTTTTAGTTCTTGAGTGACTTTGCACTCCAGTAGTTGATAGGGACACCTGGATTCTTTAGATAGAGGCAGGTAGCTTCATCATGGAGGCTCAGGTTCAGGTGAGACCCTTTTATGGAATGCACCCTCATTTAAAAAAACATCTGTCTTCAAAGCTTGGCTGAAAGTGGCCCCAAATCTCGAGCAATCCCAAGGCCTCACTCAGCCACTCCCACCTCCCTTTTCCACAACTACAGCGTGGCTGCCTTCTTTGGAGCGTGGCCATGCTCTTCCCTTCACACCACCATTATCCACAGCAAGTCTGAGGCAGAAGCCAGGAGAGTGAAGCTCCAAGACGGAAACATTCAGCTTCCAATGGCATGCTGGTGTGTCCTCCTTGGCCACATTTCCAAGATGACCTTGTCCAGCTTTGTGTAGGTGTCTTCTTCTGCCACCACTGTCCAGAGAAATGGGAGGCGGCCTTTGGGACCTCCCAAAACTGTGGGGCTGAAGTGGGAGGCATTTGAAAGCCTTGAAAGGGAGGTGGGAAGGCTTTCTAGCTCCCTTTATTTTTAAAGATTGTCTCTTGTTTCTGCTTTAATCCGAAAGCACACGTTACTTTTAAACATGATATTTAGGGCATGGTGGTGCATGCCTGTAGTTCCAGCTACTTGGAAGGCTGAGGCAGAAGGATTGCCTGAGCCCAGCTGGTCAAGGCTGCGGTGGCCGTGAGTGTGCCATTGCACTCCAGCCTGGGCAACAGAGTGAGACTCCAACTCAAAGCAAACAAACAAACATGATATTGATTGCCGGATGTGGTGGCACATACCAGTAATCCCACACTTTGGGAGGCAAAGGTGAGAAGATTGCCTGAGCTCAGGGATGCGAGACCAACCTGAGCAGCAGGGTGAGACTTCATCTCTATAGGAAATTAAAAAATCACTGGGTTCGATCGCTCAGCCTGTAATCCTGTGCCTTGGGAGACTGAGGTGAGTGGATTGCCTGAGCCCGCGGGTTCAAGACCCTCCTGGGAAACTTGGTGAGACCTCATCTCTACAATAAATCAAAAAATTAACTGGGCGTGGTAGTGCGCGCCTGTAGTTCCAGGTACTTGGAAGGCTGAGGCAGAAGTATCGCCGGAGCCCAGCAGGTCGAGGCTGCGGTGGCCGGGAGCGGCCACTGCACTCCAGTCTGGGCGACTGAGTGAGACTCCAACTCAAAAAAAATAAAAATAAAAAAATCATCCGGGCATAGTAGCACATGCCTGTAGTTCCAACTACTTGGAAGGCTGAGGTGGAAGGATGGCCCGAGCCCAGGAGTTTCAGGCTGTGGTGGCTCTGAGCATGCCACTGTACTCCAGCCCGGGCAACAGAGTGAGACTCAGACTCAAAAAAAAAAAAAGACCAAAAAACCCCCCCAAAAACCATAATGTTGATGATACCTATACTTTTTTAAAATGCAAGTCAATTAATCTAATTATATGTTGAAAAGTTTTCCTATTTAGAAAATACTTTTTAAACCTTCCTCTGGAAACTGGAATTGCTTAGCTACCTTTTGAATTTTTCTAAACCAAGAGAATGACTTTGAAATATAGTTCCCAAGGACATCAGATGACTTCTCTTAGTCCTACTCCACCGTCAACGACCCACTTAAGCCTTGGAGTATTTCCAACATTGTCAGCCAACAGCAGTCACTGAGTCACTGAGCAGGAAAAAGATGAGCATGTCTGTCCGTTGGCCTCTTCCCCTTTGAAGGCTTCCAGAGCATCTAGTGATATTGAACCAGGTTCGTTCTGCCTACAAACAGCAAGCCAATCACTGTGATGATGGGTTTTTGCAAAGGAGGAAAGATTTTATTCACAAGACTGCCTGCCAAACAAGACAAGAGAACAGATCTCAAATCTCCCTCCCCAAAAATAGGGTTTGAGAGTACTTATAGGATGGAAAGTGGGTGGTCTAAGGTATGGGGACAGTGATTGGCAGATGGGAATGGTAAGGTAATCAGGGTTTGTGCAGAAGCATAATCGAGTTCCAGGGCTCTTCAAATGGCAGTGTTAGCATGATCCTGCGGGTGGAGGTTTTGGCCCTCACACATCAGGTCACTCTTTAGGAACCCACAAAGGCCTAGTGAAGGGTCTGTGGTCTTAGCCAGCTGGAACTGGACAAGAACTGCCCTCACGTTCTTGAAAAACAACCTTAAGCACCCCTTACTGTAGTGACCCACAGTTAGAGATGTTGCCTGTGAGAAGGCCAGTGGGCGTTTAGTTATTAATATTGTTTGTCTACATGACTTGCTGGTAGGAGGTTTAAGATCAGGTAGAAGCAAGCGATCAAAAGCAAGCAAGGCAGGTTAAGTTTGGTGGGCTTAGCCAGTTAGCTTTTGGTTTCATGAGTGTGAGGCCTTGCCCTCCTCTTCATTGTTAGTGCTCTACCCATTCAGTAGGCGGCTTTCATTGACGTCAACATATTTTCTGTTGTCTCAGGCTAGAGCTACAGGAGATGCATTGGGCTGAGTGATTTGCGTGATGCATCTGATTTAACCCTCACAGTAACCCTATCAGGAGTTATTGTTATTATCCCCATTGTACAGATGGGAGCATGGAGGTTCCACTCTTCTGCAATACTGTACCTACTCGAGGCCAGGTAGATATAGGGCTGACTAAGGGGATAGGTTATAAGGCTGACTGAGGGGATAGGTTATAGATCCGCCCCCATCCTGTTTTGGGACCTGCTTCAGGGGTGGCTGGGACCTTGACTGTGAAGGCTGTTGAGCCTCTGAGGAAGAGCTGCTTCTCCTGCAGGCTCCCATGCTCACTGATGTGACAGGGCTTTCCACGTGTGCTGTCAAGGGCCTCCCAGGCAAGGCCTTGCCTTGTTATTGTTGAGTCCCCCCACTCTCTTGCTGAGTGCAGTGTATAACCCAGGAGGGATTCATTTTTATATGCAACACTTACTTATTGAACACCTGCCAGGGGCAGGCCTTTTGAGGGCAGTGGGGTTGCCCTCCAGGTTTCCTGCTCTTGTGAACTGGAATTCTCGCAGGTCTGGGGGTGGGAGTAGAGATGTGGGTAAGCAAACAGTAAATCGGTGAATTTCAGGATGTGCTAACAGAAAATAAACAGGCTGGAAGGGAGGGGGAAGTGAGGAGGGAAGAAAAAGTAAAATAATAATAATAATAAAATAATAAACAGCACGTGGGGGAGGGGCCGGGGGCCAGGAGCAAAGCTATGGGGGAGACCAGCTCCAGATGGGTAGGCTGTCCTGGGAAGGCGAGCTTTCAGTGAGACAGGCAGCAGGAGAAGGCGTGAGACCTGTGAAGCCTGGGGCAGAGGGTCCCAGCCAGCGGAGCAAGCTGACTGCCACCTATGGAGAGCAGCAGGGAGGCCAGGGAGGGAAGGCCAGGGTGGGAAGGTGTGGAGAGGAGCTAGTGAGGGTGGCAGGGAGCCAAACGGGTAGGGTCTAGAAGACCGTGGGCAGTTGTTGCTTTTGTTGTGTGTAGCAGGGAGCCGCCAGAGGACTTTGAACGGGGACTGCTTTGATCGACTTGTGCTTGAAAGGGAAGGCTCCAAGGGCGAATGCAGGGGAAGGGTGGAAGGCTGTGCTGTTATCAGGCAGACCTGACTTGGCTCATACTGGCTGAGGCGGGAGCTGCAGAGCCTTCAGAGGCCGAGGGTGGAGGGAGCGCTCAGCAGGACTGCTGCTGAATTGACTGGGCCTGGGCAGGGGTAGCAGGGCGTGGAGATGCCTTTGGAGGGTTGGTTGGGGTGCCCCCTGGGGAGAGCTCTTTCGGTGGGGACCTGAAGAATGAGAGGCAGGAGCATGTGAAGCCCTGGGCATCCGCCTGATGGGAATAAGCTTGTTGTGTTCATGGACTCAAAAGGCTAGGGGCTGGAGTGTTTTGAGTGAGGGGGAGGGTTCTGGGAGGAATGTGGGACCCTTGGACTGAGACCCTGGGACAGGAGCTTTGTGGGCCAAGTCAGCAGGGGAGTGAAAGTCCCGGGAAAGAGGAGTAGAGTCTTCTGCCTTTTAAAGATCACTCAGGCCAGACGCGGTGGCTCACGCCTATAATCCCAGCACTTTGGGAGGCTGAGGTAAAAGGATTGCCTGAGCCCACAGGTTCGAGACCAGCTTGGGCAATTTGGCAAGACCTCATCTCTACAATAAATCAAAAAAATTAGCTGGACATAGTGGTGCACCCTGTAGTCCCAGCTACTTGGAAGGCTGAGGTGGAAGGATTGCATGAGCTGAGAAATTAGAGGCTGGGAGACAGTGAGACTCCAACTCAACAAACAAAAAACTCAAACAAAAGATCACTTTGGTGACTGCGTGGAGGGAGGCCAAGAGCAGAAGTGGGGGCCCAGTGAGGATCAGAGGAGAGACCCCACCCCTCCCAGAAGAGTGAGTGGTGGCTTGGGCTTTTTGGGAGAGTTTGTTTGAGTAGGTCCTTAAAGAGTAGTCCCTGCCATTGGACCTAACAATCCCACATCTGGGGACAGACCAGGAGAATTGAAAGCAGGGGCTCGAACAGATACCTGTACATTCAGGTACATGGCAGCATTATTTTCAATAGCCAGAAGATAGAAGCAACCCAGGTGTCCATTGACAGATAGATGGATAAACAAAACTTTTATACAGCAGAACATGACTTAGTCTTTGTTTTTAGTTTTTGAGTTGGAGTCTCTCTTCGTTGCCCACACTGGAGTGCAGTGGCACATTCATGGCCACGCCAGCATCGACCTGCTGGGCTCTGGCGATCCTTTTGACTCAGCTTTCCAAATAGTCAGAACTACAGGCACGCCTACCATGCCCAGCTAATGTTTTTTGTTTATTTACTGTAGAGACGAGGTTTTGCCAAGTTACCCAGGCTGGTCTCGAACCCACAGGCTCAGGCAATCCACTCACCTTGGCCTCACAAAGTGCTGGGATGACAGGCTGAGCCACCAAGCCTGGCTGACTTAGTCTTAAAAAGAAAAGGAAATTCTGGAATATGCTACAACATGGATGGACCTCAGGACATCATTCTAAGTGACATATGGACAACCACGAAAGGACAAATACTGTCCATTCATTTGAGGTACTCAGAGTAGTCAAATTCCTAGAAACAGAAAACAGAATGGTGGTTGCCAGGGTCTGGGGGAAGCGGGAATGGAGTTAGTGTGTATTGAATTGCAGAGCTGCAGTTAGGGAATATGAAACAAGTTCTGGAGATGAATAGTGGTGATGGTTGCACAACAGTGCGAAGGTAGTTAATGTCACAGAACTGTGGACACAAAGATGGTCAAGGTGGTAAACTTGATGTTATATGTATTTGTTTTTGTTTGTTTGTTTTGAGTCAGAGTCTCACTCTGTCACCCAGGCTGGAGTGCAGTGGTACGCTCACAGGCACTGCAGCCTTGACCTGCTGGGCTCAGGCGATCCTTCCGCTTCAGCCTTCCAAGTAGCTGGAACTACAGGCGTGCACCATAATGCCCCGCTAAATTTTTTGATTTATTGTAGAGACGAGGTCTTGCCAAGTTATTCAGGGTGGTCTCAAACCCCTGGGTTCAGGCAGTCCTCTTGCCTCTGCCTCCCAAAGTGCTGGGCGTGAGACACTGTGCCTGCCATGTTATGTGTATTTGACCACAATTTTCAATAAGCAAAAGGTGTGTGTGAGTCAGGTGCGGTAGAGGTCAGGGACATCTCAGTAACATGCCAAACAGTCACTGAGGGTCAGAGACTTTGGGCATGAAGGCACTGCCAGACTTTCCTTCTCTCTCCCCTTGGGCCTCTCAGTTGAGGGTCTTTACTCATGGCAGTGTCTGGAACTTGACTGTTACCATGTAGAGCATTGGGACTAGAGAGAGGATGGAGAGCAAATTCTGCCCACATTAGCTGTAGAGGGTCTGCCTGATGGCCTGTGCGGGTGCTGGTTCTGATACTGCCCTTGCCTCATTGGGCCTCTCTGAAGAACACTCTACCCTTTGACAGGACGCTCATGAATTATTCCATGTCATTACCTCGTCACTGGAAGATGAGCGAGACCGCCAGCCGCGGGTCACACATTTGTTTGATGTGCATTCCCTGGAGGTAAACCATTAATGTTTTCAGTATAACATTCTGTGCAGCTTGAGCATATTTACTAAGTAAAGGAAATGCAAGTATGTATAATGTTTGTACAATCTTAAAATCAAAAGTAAGATTCAGTAAAAATCGGTGGTGGGAATGAGACTAGGGGAGGGTCTTAACTACAGACTGTGCATTTGGTAACTTTGGTTAGGGCTGGCAAGGCTCTTTCTAATGAGTCGCTACTGCAGTTTATGTTGGCTTTGCAAAGAGAGACTGTGTTATTTTTTCTGTTTAATAGAGGGGAATAAGGGGCCATAGAAATGCTGAATGAGCCTTTGTTTCCCTGTAATGGTATGACTATTTGCAAAGTTGATAAAATTTCACCAGTAAAGGATGGAACTATTCTGGGGAAAGGGATTGCATTTAATGAAGGGATATGAAAAATAACCAGCCAGAGAGGATAAGTAACCCTTTGCACTCAGCAACATCTTTCGGATCACTCACCAGCAATTTGACTGCACTTTTTTATGAGCGTGAAAATAAATCACTTTATATTCAATAGTATAGTATTGGAGCCAGTTCTTTTATTATTGTGATATTTGACTTATAATGGAATTTTGGGCATTGAGGAACTTATTTATGTCCAAAAAATCAAAATTTTGTATACTATTTTTTTTGGTAACATGAAACCATCACTGACATGCATTGGAGGTTTGTTGATACATGTGCAATGGCAATTTGTTTGATGTCTTCCATTTGGTGTTTTTCTATTTGAGCAGACAATGCAGTATTGTTTTCTTCCTCCCCCATTAATATGTCATTTGGCCAGGCTCAGTGGCTCAGCCTATAATCCCAGCACTTTGGGAGGCCGAGGCGAGAAGACTGCCTGAGCCCAAGGGTTCAGGACCAGCCCAGGCAACTTGGTGAGACTTTGTCTCTACATGGTAGTGCATGCCTGTGGTTCCAGCTACTTGGAAGGCTGAGGCGGAAGAATCACCAGGGCCCAGCAGGTCAATGCTGGGGTGGCCATGAGCATGCTACTGCACTCCAGCCTGGGCGATGGAGTGAGACTCCAACTCAAAATAATAATAATAATAAGAAGAAGTAATTTATAGTACAGTCTGTGCACCACTGTGAAAACATTTCACACATTCTTTCTATGTAATGCCAGCTGATTTTTTAAAATGTATATCTCAGTATATATGCTATCTCTGTTTGCTTTTTTGTGCAATTTGAATGGAAAACTTAAAGGAAAAAAACATTTTTGAAAAATTTCATTGGCATAAATTGGTCCCAGAGGCGATATCTGAGTGGGTTGCTAGATTTATGATGTCCCCTGAGGGGACATCTGAGTGGAAAGGGTTAAGCTGCTTTTAGAAACATAGGCTTTGTAAGATGTTAATTTTTAGTGGTGTAATCAGCACAGAGACTTGTAAGATTTAGGGGTGGGAGTGAGGGTGATAAAAGGAATTGTAGTAGGGTTTTCAGTCTGTTTCTTTTTTTTCCCCTACAGCAGCAGTCAGAAATAACTCCCAAACAAATAACCTGCCGCACAAGAGGTAGTCGTTTTCCATTGAAATGTAACGCATAAGATGTATACTTTTTAGATATAACAGTAATTTGCTTGTTTTAAAAAGGTTGTTGTTATTTTTTTCCTGGTGACATCCAAGCCAGCTTGAGCCATGATGTACTTGCAAAGGAACCTGTGTTCTGGAAACAGCTTTAAATGCTTCTCTTGGTGTTCCCCCATACCCACCTTGCTCATCTTCTTCTAAATGGGCTTAGTTGTACTTCAAACTGGGGCTTTCATTTTACCCTCTTGAATTGATCCCGAGAAGAACTTAGTAAGCTGAATCTGTCCTGTCCTCAGCATGTCCCCTTTGGCCAACTGTTACCGAAAATGATCACAGTCCTCCTTAGGAGGAAATCATTGTTTTTTTAAGACTTGAGCTTAAAAAAATAATAATAAATCAATTCCTTTGTTTATTAGAAGTAATAAGAACAGGCCAGCAGTGGTAGCTCATGACTGTAGTCCTACCACTTGGGAGGCCCTAGGCAAGAGCCCAGGAATTCAAGACTAGCCTGGACAACATAGCAAGTCCTTGTCTCTGAAAAAATTTAAAAAATTAGCTGGGTGTGGTGGCATAACCTGCAGTCCCAGCTATTCAGGAGGCTGAGGAAGGAGGATTGCCTGAGCCCAGGAAGTCGAGGCTGTGGTGAGCCTGAGTGTGTCACTGCACTCCAGCCTGGGCTGCAGTATATTCTGTGGCAGGCACTGCAGTATCTCATTTGTTTGTTTGTTGATTGATTGATTAAGTAGGCGTCTCACTCTGTAGCCCAGGCTGGAGTGCAGTGGCATGCATACGGCTACCGCAGCCTTGACCTGCTGGGCTCAGGCAATCCTTCTGACTCAACCTTCCAAGTAGCTTGAACTATAAGTGTACGCGACCATGCCCAGTGAGTTTTTTGATTTTTTGTAGAGACGAGGTCTCACCAAGTTGCCCAGGCTGTTCTGGAACCCCTGGGCTCAGACAGTCTTCTTTCCTCTGCCTCCAAAGTGCTGGGATTATAGGCATGAGCCACTGTGCCCAGCTGTAGTATCTCATTTAAACCTCACAACTCTTAATAGGCTGATAATACAAAGATCATGGGTAATAATTATCCCAATTTCCAGCAAACTGAAGCTTACAGAGATAAAATGACTTCCCAGGACATATAGCTAGTAAGATGCAGAGGCAGGACCCCACCAAAGGCTGCCCAACATCAGACCCTGTATTTCTATGAGCGTTTATTCTCCTAACCCTCATCCTAGCCAAAGAAAATCTCAGTTTTTCAGAACTTACTCATTCTGCTTATTTTGGAAGTTTATTTCGGCCAGGCACGGATGCTCAAGTCTGTAATCCCAGCATTTTGGGAGGCTGAGGCGAGAGGACTGCCTGAACCTGCAAGTTTTAGACTAGCCTAGACAACATGATGAGACCTTGTCTCTACAATAATTCAAAAAATGAGTCAGGTGTGGTATCACGTGCCTGTAGTTCCAGCTACTTGGAAGGCTGAGGTGGAAGGATCGCCAAAGCCCAGCAGATCGATACTGGGGTAGCTGTGAGCATGCCACTGCACTCCAGTCTAGGCTGCAGAGTGAGACTAACTCAAAAAAAAAGTTTTTCTCACTTTATTGTTCACTCGTGGGTCCTTCTCTTAAATCTCAAAACATTTTACACATATGTTTGTAAAACACAAATTCCTTTTTAAAAATGTGGCTGTGGCCATTATACAGAAACCATATGTAAAGATCTGTGAAGGACTGGGATGTCTTTTGTATGGAAGTCAGTGAGGAAAGCAAATTCAGTGTACTTACAAGAACATTTTTTCTCAAGAGAGTTTCTACCACATACTAAAAAGGAGGGTGAATTTTGAGATTGGTGTCAAAGGACTAAAAGTGACATATCAAAAGATGTTTTGCATTCCAGGGTCACCTCACCCCACGTCCAATCACTGGAAGTCTCAGCATCCCTTTCATGGAAGACTTACTAGTAATATGGTCTGCAAACACTGTGAACACCAGGTAAGTACAACACCAGTGCGAAGTCTTCTTTTAACTTAGGATTCGTGAAAGGATCCAGAGAGTGAGCTGGCATTGGTCAATGGCGTTTGTGACTGCCTGGGCTTTGCACACCTAATGAACTGACTTTCCCCTTTGGTTGGTGCCAGCGTGTCAATTTGGTCCTCAGGTGGCATCTTCAGATCAACAGCAGATCATTTTGGATTGTCAAGATTTCAAGTCCTAAGATTGGGTCTATGTTCATGGTGAACACAGCAGATTCTAGGGTTTCTAGGGTTGAGTTTTTCTTTGCTTTTTTTTTAAAGGTTTTAAAATAATTTTTTTCTGTGGAAAATTTCCCATGTCATACAAAAATGGAGAATTGTGCAGCTCTCGCTTCAGTCAATTTTAGAATATTTTCTTCACCCCCCGAAAAATTCCACGAGCAGTCTTTCCCCATTCTCCCCATTCCCTTAGTCCCTGGCAACCACGAATCTGCTCTCTGTCTCTGTAAATTTGCCTCTTTTGGATATTTCCTGTAAATTGAATCATATGTTATACAACCACATACACACACAAAAAAGATAACTACATGAGGTGACAGATGTGTTAATTAGCTTCAGCTTGATCGGGGTGATCATTTCATAGTGTATAGGTATATGAAATCATATATTTTAAAGATACACAATTTAGGGTGCCAGGCTTCTTTCACTTAGCATAATATTTTCAAGGTTCTGCTATGTCATGGCATGTATTAGTACTTGATTCCTGTTTATTACCAAATAGTAGACATTGCATGGATATATCACATTTTGTTTGTCTACTCATTAGTTGATGGGCATTTGGATTGTTTCTACCTTTTGGTCATGGACAATGTTGCACATTTATGTACAGGTTTTTGTGTGGACGTGTGTTTTCACTTCAGTTGGGCAGATACCTAGGAGTAGAATTGCTAGCTTATATGGTAACTCTATGCTTAACCTTTGGAGGAGCTGCCTGATGGTGTTTCAAAAGTGGCTGCACCATTTCACATTCCCACCAGCAGCGTATGAAGCTTCCAGTGTCCCCACAACCTCACCCACACTTGTACTATCTGACATTTCATTCTAGCCATCCTTGGTGTGAAGTGCTATCTCATTGTGGGTGTTTTTCCAGCTTTGTTGAGGTCTTATTGACAAATAAAAATTGGGTATAGTTGGTCGGGCGCCTATAATCCCAGCACTTTGGGAGGCCAAGGTGAGAAGATTGCCTGTGCCCCACAGGTTTGCAACCAGCCTGGGCAACTTGATGAGACCACATCTCTACAATAAATCAAAAAATTAGCCAGGTGTGGTAGCACGTGCCTGTAGTTCCAGCTACTTGGAAGGCTGAAGTGGAAGGATCACCTGAGCCCAGCAGGTCAAGGCTGCAGTGGCCATGAGCGTGCCACTGCACTCCAACCTAGGTGGCAGAGTAAGACTCCAACTCAAAAAAAAAAACAAAACTGTGTATAGTTAAGGTGTACAAAGTGATGATTAGATATATGAAATGATCACTGTAATCAAACTCAAGCTAATTAACACATCCATCATTTCATGTAGTTAACCTTTTGTGTGTGTTTGTGGTAAGAATGCTTATGATCTACTCTGCTAGCATGTTTCAAGTGTGCAGTCCAGTGTTATTAACTACAGGCACCATGCTGTACATTAGATCCCCGAACTTTTTCATCTTATAACTGAAGATTTGTACCTTCAAGCTACATCTCCCCATTTCCCCAGTCCTCAGCCCCTGGCAGCCACCATCCTACTCTCTACTTCTGTGAGTACAACTTTTCTAGATTCTACATATGTATGAAATCAGGCAGTATTTGTCTTTTACTGTGTCTGGCTTATTTCACTTAGCATAGTGTCCTCCAAATTCATCCATGTTGTCACAAATGGCAAGATTTCCTTCTTTTTTTTTGGCTGAATAATATTCTATTGTATGAATACGCCACACTTCTTTTATCTTATCATCTGTCTGTGGACATTGAGGTTGTTTCCATATCAGCTATTGTGAATAATGCTGCTGCTGTGAACATTGTGATGCAGATGCCTCTTTGAGATCCTGGTTTTAGTTCCCTTGGATATGTAATCAGATATAGAATTGCTAGTTCATATGGTAGTTCTATTCTTGACTTTCTGAAGAGCCTCTATGCTATCTTCCATAGTGGGTGCACCAGTTTGCATTCCTACTAACAGTACACAAGAGTTGTCTTTTCTCCACACCCCCCTGGTACCTGCTTCCTCTTATCATGGTGGGAACAGAGATGTAGGTGATAGCTCTTTGTGGTTTTGATTTCCCTGATGGTTAGTGATATTGAACACTTTTTCATATACCTGTTGGCCATTTGTATGTCTTTTTTGGAGAAATGCCTGTTCAGGTCATTTGCCCATTTAAAAACCATGTTATTTGTTTTTTTGCTGTTGACTTGTATAAGTTCCTTATGTATTTTGGATACTGACACCTTATCAGATGTATTATTGGCAAATATTTTTTCCCATTCCATATGTTGCCTTTTCATTTTGTTGATTGTTTCCTTTGCTGTGTCATTATGGTTTTGACTGTAGTCAAACGTGTTGAATGGTTTTTAAAAAATAAGGTTCATACATTACAATTCCTTGATATATCTTACATATCTCTTCATGTATAAGTTGACTATGCATTTCTTAAATTTTTTTCTTGCATTTTATTTGTTTTGATACTATTGTAATAGAAATTTTAAATTTATGTTTCAGTTGTTTGCCACTAACATATAGAAATACAATTGTATTTTACCTGTATCTTGAGAGCTTGTAAAAATTCATTTATTACTTCTAAAAATTTTGTTGTAGATTCCTTATAATTGTCTATATATGTAAATTATCATGTTGCCATAAATTGAAACAGTTTTAATTCTCCCTTTCCAATCTTTATGCCTTCTGTTAGCCTGGCTAAGACCTTTGGTACAAAACTGAGTAAGAGTGGTGATAGAAGACATACTTGTCTTGTTTCAAATCTTCTGAAGCAAGTATTTGGTGTTTCATAATTAATATAGTATTAGCTTTGAGTTTTAGTATGCCCCTCTATATACTATTTTTTTAAGTTTATATTTAAAGGAACTTTATGAAGTTCCTTTCTGTTACTAGTTTGCTGAGAGTTTTCGTAATAGTGTTTTAATTTTATCATGCTTTCTCTGCATCTATTGAGGTGATATTTTATTCTTTTATTCTGCTAACATGGTGAATTACAGTGGTTGATTTTTCTAAGGTTAAACCAGTCTTGTATTTCTGGGATAAACCCCACTTGACTGTGATGTTTTATTCTTTTTCTATATTACAGGATTTGATTTGCTAATATTTCCTAAAGGATATTAGTGTCTGTGTTTATGAGGAATATTAGTTTTATATTATTATTTTCTTATAATTTATGATTTTGTCAGGTTTTGTTATAAGAATTACATTAGCCACAGTTGAGGATGGTAGTTCATGTCTCTAATCCCAGCACTTTGGAAAGCTAAGACAGGAGGATTGCTTGAGCCCAGGGATTCATGACCAGGCTAGACAACATAGCAAGACCTCAAATCTACAAAGTAATTTTTTTTTTTTAAATTAGCCAGGCATGGTGCTACGTGCCTGTGGTCCCAGCTACTCAGGAGGCTGAGGCAGGATAATCTGAGCCCAGGAAGTCAAGGCTGTGGTGAGCTGTGATCATGCTACTACAATCCAGCCTGGGTGACAGAGTAAAACCCTGACTGGGGGAAAAAAAAAAAAAGAATTACATTAGCCTCACAAAATAAGCCGAGAAGTATTCCCTCCTCTGTTTTGTGAAAGAAATATTAGTATTATTTCTAAAGTATTAGTATTCTGAAATATTCAGAATATTCTGAAATATTAGTATTCTGAAATATTAGTATTATTTCGTCCTTAAATATTCCTAAAATGTGTTTCTTCACTTATATTTTTACTGAATTATTTTAAAACTTTGTTGTTGGCTACAAACACATTTATTATGATGAGTTGACAGATACATAATGATAAAATGTTCCTCTTCATCTCTGATAAGACTCCTTGACTTGAAGTCTATTTGGTTTGTTTTTTTGGTTTTTTTAAATAAATATTGATTTTATAGAAAGGACCAATTCAAAATTGGTCGGACGCCACATGCTAGAAGCTTCCAGAACCACAATGGTGAGGGGGAAAAAAACTCCCAGACAAAACAAACAAAATACTCCAGACCAAACTGTCTGAAAATCAAGGTCCCGGTTGGGCTCTGTGGCTCAACATGTAATCCCAGCACTTTGGGAGGCCGAGGTGAGTAAACTGCCTGAGCCTGCGATTTCGAGACCGGCCGGGCAACTTGGCAAGACCTCGCCTCTACAATAAATCACAAAATTAGCCGGACTGCTTGTAGTTCCAGCTACTTGGAAGGCTGGGGCGGAAGGATCGCCTGAGCCTGGGAAGTTGAGGCTACGGTGGCTGTGAGCATGCCACTACACTCCAGCCTGGGCAACAGAGTGAGACTTCAACCGGCCCCCCCCCACCAAAAGAAAAAAAATCAAGGTCCCGGTTGACCCAAGGATTCTAAAGAAACACTAGTAGCCAGGGTTCAGGAGACCGCTACACCTGAACAAGTGCCCAGAGTAGAAGGAAAAACAGTCCAGAAACGCAAACCACAGTCCCTGCCCACTGGCACCCCCATGCTGTCGGGAGCGGGGTGAAGGGCTTCGCAGCTTTATGGGGGGAGGAGAGAGTGATGGCGATAACTTAAATAATGGGGGAGTTCTCTACTTGAACATTTTTTTCTCTTCCCCATAGGAAACAAGGAGAGACTGGTAGCTTGAGGTTAAAGAGAACACAGCGATTTTTAAAAACTTCCTTAATGGGGAAGCATCTGGAAACAGCAGGCCATCATGAAAGCAATGCCAAATTCGACCCGTGATCCGGTGGCCCCCAGTTCCTAAGGGAGCCGAGCCTTGGGGTGGTGGGAGAGGTACTAACCTCAGGCGCAGCAGCCTCTTGGTAGGAAACGGGCTGCAAAGATGAAGGGCTGGGGGCGAGGGAGTGGAAGGGCGCCGTTCTGAGGGAACCCTTAAGTGGTACCAAAGGTATGGCCTTCTGCTCCCTGCTGTAGGCCCCTGGGGTGTGAAGCCGACAGGGAGGGAGCTGGGGCCAGTGGAGGAGGAGTTGAGATGCTCATTGGAAACACAACCCTGTGGGAAGGTCCTCGGCCCTGCCTGGGTCTGGAGTAGAAAACCAATCGGGGTCACTCACAGTACTTTCCTGTGTCATCACCAACCCCGCTCAGTTCTGGAAGGGGATCCACGCCGCCTGGATGGGGATGTGGGCTAGTAAACCGGTCCTGACGCTCAGACATGGTGGGCTCTCCCCCCTCCCCCGGCTTCACCTCCCCTTTTCCTGGCCCGTGGCAGGGCAGCACCCACCTGTTGTCGTGCAGGCCCGGGCGGCAACCAGGCATCTCGCGGTCGGCTGGCGGCCACACATCA